ATTGAATCCCCTTGAATTGAGAGGCATTCCTATATGATTATCCCAGAGCAAAGTTCATCCAGTTCACTTAGCAAAGGCCTCATATTTGAATATTGACAGGAATGTATTTACATTTGCTTAGTTCTTTTTCATTAAAGTCAATGCAGCAAACAATCCCTTCTTGCTTCAGTGTCTGGATTTCACAGGCTTCTGGCCAGCGCCTTCTTTTTTCTCTCAGGGGTTCCAGTAAGCCAAAAATAGAATGCCATCATAATTCCCCCTTCTCTAAGGAGTGCTAGAATGAGATGGTCACTAAAAAGAAACCCACCCACTCTAGTGTGGCCCGTCATCTCCCAATCTCTGGTCTAGTTCCTTACTTGAGGGGAAAAATGAAAAGAACCAAATGTCCTAGTCATTTTTAGATGTTCCCAGAATAGTAAAGGATCCAGAAATTCTGCCTACATCAAACATTCTGCTCCTTAGAAGTATCAAGACAAAAGTGAGAGTCAACAAACCTGAAGCCTAGGTCCCATCTACAGCTGTAAAATGTGAAGCTCAGGTACTAAGTGTACTCTTATTATTGAGTGATAGAAAGGCCAAATCTTGGCCTTCCATTTCTAGATCCTGTGCTTGTTCCAATGTATATACCACTTCTCCTCTAAGATAAAGGAACTTGAAAGAAAAGAAATACTGCTAGCTTGGATAGAAAAAAATACTACCAAGTTCCAGGTTCTGTTTCTGATGACTATTCACATCCACTGTCCTTGAAGGGTGAGACGATCTCTACTTCAGGATAATCCACATAGATTGATGCCACCTGCTGTCTTCTGCCCATCTGGACCCTCCCAGGAGCTTGCTTTCTGCACTGCCTCATCAGATACCTTCCCTGTGCCAGGGTGACTATAAAGGCTGGCCATCCCTCTGCACATTTATCTTCAACCCCCAGTGCACAAGCAGAGCACACGCCAGAGTAACTCATTTATTTCTACTCATTTATTGATGGCCTTTCATAACCGAGTTATTAAGTCATCAATAACTTCAGTGAAATAAATGAATGGATCCAGAACTGGGCCAACAGATATTTAAGATATACACTGAAATTTTTAACTAAGATCAGCAGAAAAGTCAATGCTGGGTCATCAGTGGAATTTCCCCCACCTTCAAAAATATATTTCACAAATTTTTGGCTTCTAATTGGAACCCAGTTTATTTCTGTGGAAGGTAGTGAAATTAATAACTTCTCCAGTCACCCAAGTAAAATAAAGTTCTTTTTAAAAAGATTACATATGGTAACATTTTTCCAAAATACTACTGAATGTGTATTATTCTCATCAGCTAACAACAATGAAAACCTGAAAGTTTTGCCAGGAATAGAATATAAGCTCTTTTGGAGTACTTCTAAGTTATGATATGCTTCCCTCAAGAAATAAAAAGGAGAAGGAAAGGGGTAAAAATGTAAAGAGGATTTCTAAGATCTTAGGAAACCTTTGAAATTGGAGTCTAGACAAATTCTTAACACTGAAGTTAAGTTTCTGTAGGGATACTTTCAAAGCCATCAGCAAGCTCAGGAGAAGTGCATATTTTCACTGCATTTGGGAGTAAATATAGCTGCATCGTCTCAGTCTCCATGAGCACACAGTATCCTGACCTCACTTCCCTACTTAGATACACATTTGCCCTAATTTGGTCCCCACTTCAGCTTGGAGGTCCAACTAGAGAAGAGGAATCTTGGCTCCTGAAGAACTGCCAGAGTTCTGGGTAACCTCTAAATTCTCCAGTTGCTAAATTCCTGTAAATTAGGAATTTTAATAGAGCATACTTTATCAAATTATTAAAAGAATATAAAAAGTTGTTGTAGCTTGTGTCTAGCTGTCTCCCCAAAGCTTTATGTGGTCGTAGGTGGAGCTTTTCAGAGGTGGCTGAATCTAGGGTGTGTGATGCTGGGATTAGGGATGTGTGGCTACTACATTAGTTCACTGATCAGTTTGGCATAGCTCTGGGTTGGATAACGGAAAGCCCCATTATGGGTACGGGTGGAACCACCAAAGGGCAGGCAGCCTGAAAGGGATAAAAGGGGAGGCAGGCCACTGCTCCTACCTCACTATTTTACTGCTTTGCTGCCTCCTACCCATCATGAACTGTTTTTCCTCTGCAATGTCCTTTTGCCATGCCACCCTGCCTTGGAGCCAGACAAGTATGGACTGACACCTCCAAAAACTGTGAGCCAAATAAAGCTTTTCTCCTTTAATTTTGGGTGTTGGATATTTTGTCTCAACAATGAGAGAAGCATCTAAGACAAAAGTCAATATACAAAACATTTAAAATAGTATCTGATGTACTGTAAGCATTCAAGAAGTGTTAGCTGTTGTTGTCATTAATAAAAATGTAGTATTGTCCATGATTTTAAGGTTTTACAAACCAGCCACTCCAATTTCTTCAGTTCATTTAATAGACAAGATAACAGCAGTCCAATAAAGTTTCTGTAGAACATCAATTATTTTCAAAGTTTAAAAACTAAGTGAGACACTGTAGGGGAAAAAAAAACTATCATCTTTGAAGTCCAGCCATCCCACATTTAAATTTCATGTTTTTTTCTTACTATATGACTTTGAGTTTGCTTCTTCTCTTCTCTGGGCCTCTGTAGGTCCTCGTGTGCAAAATAGGTATACAGCAACTTTCCTTGATGGATTGTGGTGAGAATTGAAAAGTAATGACTAAAAAAAATTAATGGCTGGATAATGTGACCAAGATCCTGCCTTAGCAGTTAATGAGCATTCAATAGCTGGGAACTATCACTTTTGCAAACATCACTCGGCCGGTTTGCTGCAGGGTTGGTGCTAGAATCTTGGCCTCCTGCCAGTAGAGCACACCTCTACACCACCTACCCTTCCTTAAAAACACAACAAAAAAGGAATTTTCTAACTTTTCTTTTTCTCCACTTTATTCTATAACTATCTTGTCATCTATAGACATTATTATCTGTCAATGATCACCTATGTCTGTTGATAAATGACATCTATAAATCCTATTGATCTTAAAGAAAAGAAAGGGGGCATAGAAAAGGAAAGGAGAGCTCTCACTGTAGGCCCAGAGCTATCATGAGCAGTTTTATCCGCCAGCTGAACAAGAGACGAGGGCTCAGAAATGACTTGCATATGTTGCAAAATTATGACGAAAACACTATGTGCAGCAGTAATTTTTTGAAAATATGACATGTTTGAAGGGATAGAAATAGAGAAAGGTTCAGGGAAGGATGGAAATTCAGCTAGACATGCTGTTTTTCTTTTTTAGAGGAAATAAATAAGTTTTAACTCTAAATAACAAGGCAGGACACTTCAGCTCGATCTCAAAAGAAAGATCTATGGAACCCTGACATCCTAACATGAAAAAATAATTGGTGTTCCAGCGTACGGATTGGAAATGGGTAATGAGTTTTATGATAAAGTAAGTTTGAGAAACTCTTCCCTCTTGAACTTTTTCAATGTTTATATATAAATTAAGTACTCTAAGAAGTACTGAAGCTTAGGAACCTGCTAACCCTGCCTGACACACCCTTTTCTGAATGATAGGCACAGAATTCCCACCAATATCATATGAAGGAATATCATTTGGAAAATTGCAAAATTGAAAAAAATCAGAAGTGTTAGCCAATGAGAAGGGCAATAAGAAGTTTAGACTTAAGTTTTTTTGTGAGTTTCTAGCCAAATCATTTTAGACACAGGATAAATGGCTGACTAAATATGGACCACAATTTACTTTCTGTATTCTCATTGCATTTGTGGAAGTTGGGACTGCAGCATCTGCCTGGTATGCATGTTTCAGAGGGCAAAATACAGCCCTTTGTGTCCAACTATTTATTGTTAACCAGTAATGGAACAGAGTGAGAAAGGAAAAAAAAAACTAAGTAAAATAAAAAGAAAGCAAAGTAGCCTGGGCCTATCAAAGGGCTGGCTTTGGTGAAGCCCATGGTTTCCCATCATTTTCTGTTCATCATAATGTCCTCAGAACACCCTGTATATCACTGGAAGGCTAACTCCTGGTGTAGTGTGGGAATGGACCCTTTGTGCCCACACAAAGCAAAAGTCAACATTAAGATACAATTGGTTTTAACAATAGAAAGAATCATGATTGGAATTGACTGGAATTAAATTCACTTTTCTTAATATGCAAAATGAGACACTAGATTTAAAAATGCTACTGAACATGTCCCATACTGCAAATTGTTTTACCATTTCTCTCTAAAGTTCTCAGTAAGTTTTTCATCTCGTTTTTCTTTTTGTCACATTTTAATCCTCTCTCTACTCTCTGTTAAATACCATCAAACACTGTCACTTTCTCTTTTGCCTTTAAGTCTTTAATTCATCCACCTCCCCCTTCCCTTTAAGGGCCTGGGTGTGTGTGTGTGTGTGTGTGTGTGTGTGTGTGTGTGTGTGTGTGTGTGTGTGTGTGTGTGTGTGTGTGTATGTGTGTGTGTACACATGTATGCAGTGGGTGGGGGCGTGCATTCAATTATTACAGGCTTCCCATCAGGAATATCTCTTTGAAAACTCTTCATAATCTAAGCAGAAAGATATCAAAATCAACCACAGCCCTATCAAAAAGAAAATGAAGGAAAACTAAAAATAACATTATTAGACTGTTGTTGTTTCTTTGACCTTTCAATGATCCATAAATAAATGTCATCCAAATTTGACAGAAGTAAACTGCAAAATTCCCACAACATCAATCTGACAGAAATGCCATTTTTATTGTTGTAAAAAAGTGGCATTTCTTAGCTACTCAGTAAAATTAGGATTATTAAGGAAAGGAAATGTTGAATTATGACAAAAGAATCTCATCCACACAGCAAGATCCATAAGCTAATTTGTTTGGCAACTGTTTCACCATTTAGATGGAAATGCTTATGCAGTACTTAGAAAGATTTTTTTTTAATATGGTGAAATCTAATTTGATTTGACATGTATTTTTGTATTAAAATGTTTTTAACTATCCAATGCCCTTTTTCTATGGTCTCTCTCCAGGAAGCAAATAACTCGGATAAAAGTGTGACAAAAGCAGAGAGTGCCCGGCTCTTCAGGATGTGGTATGGCTTTGACCACAAGTATCCTTTGGTAATGACCTGGCAGATCCTCCTGCATGACTCCTGCATGAATTACTCTGAGCACTTAATCATTGCGATACACACTCCGGCTCCTCAAGAAACACAGAAAGGTAAAGGGAATTCACAGACTTATTAAAGGAATGAATTTGTAAAATTAAAATATGGTCTACTCCATACTTAGGTGTTACAAAGAGCTAATGTAAATCCATGAGACAGTTGCTTTGTGGCAATCTGGTGTGTTCTAATGCTAACTGGTAAAGTCATACAGTCCTAAAGAATTGATCCATTTCACTGTTCTTTGTAGAGATCTTAATTCTGGCCCACTTATCCAGGCCTTTAGCCAGGGGAACCTGGACAAAGGTCCTGCACATTTCCTGCAGAAGCCCACTTGTCTGCTTTTGTTTCATGCTATGAAAAATAAAGGGGTGAGGGTAAAGGTAAGAATGAGTGGGCTGAGAAAAGTCTGGGTCATCATAGTACAAAATAGCACCTCTTTTTCAGGCAGGCTTGAGTATGCTAGCTTCCAATGAAGGGCAATTTTTAAATTCTAGCAATCAAAATAAACATACTAACTCAGATACACCTTGTCATGTGATTTGAAAGGCTGAGAAGTCAGGCCTGAAGTGCTTTGCCATTGTGAGTTGCAGTAAGCGGTCCATCTCTAATCCCAGGCAAAAGCTCCATAAAGAAAAGGAAAGAACCGCACTGTAAATTGAATGTGTTGGGTCTTTGTAGCTAGTTTTCCTCAGTCACAAATCCCTCTCCTTTCAGTGAAAAAATGTCAGTCACTGGATGATTTTAAGCCTTTAAGCAATGATTAAAGCCACAACAAATCAGCAGGGGAGAAAGAATTAAGAACAGGGAAAAGAAATTCAAACAATTGGTGAAAAAGAAGGGATGAAAGAGGAAGAGAGAAAAGAGGCCAAATAAATTCACCAAATTCACATCAGAAATCAAAAGAAAGCAAATTAAAGGAATGATTATGGAAAAAAAATCAAGAAAGAAGTAAAAAGAAGCCAGCTGAAGACTGCAGAGATAGGAAAAAACAAAACAATGTGAGAATTAGAAGACAGTTTTGAAGCTTAGAGTGTTTCAGGAATTGCAAAATGGTGCCATGGTAGGTAGAGCATTTTGGTTTGGCTGCATTGTGCTGAGTGTAGATCTCTTGCCCTGCTCAGTGCACCGTGCCACCACCTGAAAAATAGTCAGTCCTGGCCAGTGGCTGCCTCCTGGAAGTTCTGGTTTCTCTTTCACTATTTGAAGCCTTCCTGGGCTCTCAGGGGAGCTAGTTCTTAGTAGGTTATTGCTGACTTATGCCATTGGTTGATGCTCTTCTAGAAACAAAATTTGCCCCTTCATTGTTTACAAGTATCTGATAACCGAATTTCTTGGAAGATATAAGAATTTGACTGAAAAAATGCCCAAGGAGATGTACAGCAAGAAAATGATAAATCAGAAATGTGATAATTTTTTTCAACTTCTGAAATTATTGCGAGGAAAGCTTCACAATGAAAAAAGAGAGAAAATTAATTCAGAGGCAAGAATATAAGTTGGAGCCCACCCAAATTTTTATGTCAGAACAGTGACACTTAATTCAGATGATGTCATAGTTTTTATCTCACTTTTTACCAGGGGTTTATTTCCATACAATTATGAACAGACTAGCAAAAATGAAAGCAGATTTATATTCTCTGTAATGTTTCCCCTCGTGGTAATTTGTCCTCCAGTGCATTCATTCTAGAAACTGCAGTGCTATCATTGCACAAATACATTTTCATCAGACAATGGAGTTTTTGTGTCCTACTTATGCTCTAAATTTATGCCAAGAGAGTGGCAACCAGGTTCAACTCTGTGACCTCTTGATATATCTGTATTTTCAGAGACAAATTATCCATTTGGCATTTATGTTCATTCTGTTGTCCACCTAAAGCCCTGCTGATGTGTCCTGTGGACCTCACAGGTCAGGCCATGGCAGCCCTTGCCAGGGTAGAGATGAATCCCTACCCAGCGATCAGAGCGCCTGACCTGGACCAAAATGATAGTTTCATGAGTGTAAAACAAAGGAACTGTTCAAGTTTCACTTCCATAAAAGAATATTATGTAGATGAAGCAACATAAAGAATTGTTAACAAAAGAAAACAGCATGTATAAGCACTCAAACACACCTGTATCAGCTAAGGTTCTCCAGAGAAACAGAACCAGAACCAGTAGAAATCATTTACATATGCATATGGATTTGCATATTATTTCAATGACAGGATGTTTACAGTTGTTGGGGGTAGCAAGTGCCAAATCTGAAGGACAGGATCTCACTCTGGAAACTCAGACACGACACGAGCTGGTTCCGCAGCCTTGAGGCTGAGTCCCTTCTTCCCCAGGGCAGCCTCAGTTTTTCCTCATAAAGCCTACAAGTGACTGGATAAGGCCCACCCACCTTATTGAGGATAATCTCTTTTACTTAGAACCAACTGACTGCACTATTAACCATATCTATAAAATGCTCACAGCACCTAATTCAATTCAACTGATACCCAGTGTTCAGACCCAAAGATAGAAAGCCTCTCACACTGCACCAGTATTATCAGCGAAACCACTGTTGATCACATAGTTTGTTGTTTTATTTTTTCATAGCATAAGTAATTCACACATACATTACCATAAAATGTCACCAAAACTATAGAAGAAAATCATAAAAACATTCAGTGAGGATGAACAATGGCCGAGCACTATGTTGAGTGCTGTACATTTGGCAATTCACTTCGCTCCCCAGCTCTGCGGGTGATTGGAAAGTTCGAAAGAGCAAATACAGCAAAACTGGACCACTGATTGGGTCAGCCTCTGCCCAACAACCTGGGTCCCTGTTCGAGAGTGTCGTTAGAAAGCCACAGTGCCCCATGATGATTAATTGAGATTTCATTATGATTCAGTGTGGGTAGCAATTCTGAATCATACAGTACAGAACAGAAATTGAGAAGTAGGGAGATGAGAAGGAACAAATGCTCTGTTATCATGCACAGTATTCCATATAATCCTTATATCCACTTTTTCTGTTTTAATTTTATAATTATTGTCTTTGTGATGAAGGAAACAAACTCCCAGTTTATCTTAAATAAATTTCTTATGTTTCCTCAGCTAACGAGGTTCAAGCCCATATATGTCTCCAAAGTGCATAATATATTTAATCATTAATGATTTTATGTCCATAATATCTTCTTCTATCTGTAAAACTCCACACCTCAATATGTGCATAAAGTCACCCTTAAAGCAATGAATACCTAAAATGTACCGATAAACTCATGAGGAAAAAAAAGCAATGAATAAATATGATTCCTTACATTATGTAGGGCAGAACTTACATTTCAACTATCCATTAACAGTATATGGATGATAACAATGTTAGAGGATTTTTCTGGTCTCCCACGATGCACCATCTTAGAAAAGTCCTCAAGTTCCCAAGTCATGTCCTCAGCTTCTCAGGGGAAAAAGTTCAATATGCCAAAGAGTCCAAGAGAGGTCCCTTCAGTCTCATTAGAGATAAATGCAATCTAGCCAAATTCAAAGGAAGCAGAAGCATAAACCAAACACCGGATTCCTAAATCACCACATCTTCACTGAAAGAAGTATCTTCTCCTAGCCATGAAAAGGCTCTGGTTGCAATCAGGCCCCTAATATCCTTGCTTCAGCCATAAATACACAGTCTGGTCCCTAGTGCCCTTCTCTCCTATCCTTGCTCCTGTCACTCTGCTCAGACCTCCCAGCCTTCTTCTGGCACACCAAGCGCATGCCTGCCCTAGGGCTTTGCACTGGCTCTCTGTCCAACATTCAGCACCTTTGCCTTTCACCTCCTTCATTCAGCTTGTCAATAAGACCTTCATGACTCCACATATAAATTAGTCCGAATGCTACCTCAGTCCTTTCCTGCTGTATCCTTGTACTATACCACTTGTCACCTCCTATGTACTTTGTTTTGATTGCCTCCTCTAACCAGGTTATATGCTTTTGGGGGACAGAAATTTGGGTCTATGTTTCTTGACTGGTACAGCCTCAGGGCATAATACATTGCCTGGCAGGCAGTGTAGACTCAATAAATATTTGTTGAAGGAAAGAATCAGTCAGGCATGCAAGTAAACAAGAAATATTCTCTATCCAGAGAACCTTCATTTTGGATATCGATGTAGCAGGAAAAGCCAATTAATTACAGAAAAGTTACTAAGTGAACTTAGCAGAGCAAGGCCAAGTGGATATTAGTGTTTTCATCTAGGCTCCTTGCACCAACCCCACCACCACCACAGCTCCATATTCAGTGTCTCTCTCCCTAGAGAGACAGCCACTCTTGTTTGTTTCTACTGACCTTCTTCCTGTGGTTGGTTCTGCCTACCTTAGGTCCCCCTACTCCTAGAGGGAAAAGAAAACGATCATTTTTTTCTCAATCTGTTGAAAACAACCACCAGAATTTTATAAGTTTAATTTAGTAGGAAACTTGATAAAACAACACTTCTAGGAATCTACAATTCCAGAGCTGTTTCCAATTATTGTAACATATTCATCAATTTAATGCAAATGAAGTTTTTTAAAAATTAAAAACAATTTAAAGAAAAACGTAAGTGACCCAGACATTAGACTTAGTAACCTAATTTTTGTTAGTACAGCTGACCTGGTAAATTCAAGCCTCACTCTGGTTTAGAAGCCATTCTCTGTATGAGTGACTTTAAGTACATCTTATCTCACCAATCATCATGATTTTATTAGCAGCAAACTCCAAATTTATAGCCCCTTACCATCTTCACTACAATTAATACATCCGGACTACAATCTCATGTAATGAGGTTAGAAACAGAAATTGATGCTTCCTTATTCATATTTTAAGACATCAGATAAAATTATTTGCTTAGATGTGTGTTACAGCTGGTGTGGGAATTTTATGTTGCCTTATTCATAGGTGACTAATGATCTTGCTGGACTGTCTGCTTCCTTGAGTCTCTTCCTATTCTATCATTTGT